ATCAAGTAATCAAAAAAGTGTTCAAATTTACAAAAGTTGATATTATTTTTATTTCATTATTCATCAAACTGGAAATGGAAGGTCAAGTTGAGCGCATTGCATTGTGGGATATAATATTCTCTGCCGTATTCTGTATACTACTGCATATTTTGTCAAATGAATTCAGTCATATTCTCTGTGCAAAGGAAATGTGCATCTTGTGCACTGCATGCATTCTGCATACTATTTCTTTCAAAAATAATTGGTAGGATGCCCTTCTTGCTCATCAGACTTTGGTCAGATGTAAAAACTTTACTGTAAAATAGCAGAATAGAAGGAACAGGCTGGAATGGCGGGGGAAAGAAGGCTGATTTCCATGCGGCTCGGTACTGTCAGATTGAATTAGCTCAGGTGTAATTAGAGCGCTGGAGAGCGTCCTGCTTTGGCTGCGCGGTGTGCGACGGGGCAGCATGGCTCTACACTGAAGCCAGCTGATACCGAGCCGGGCCGCTATCACCATGCAAACACACGCCTCCAACATCGCAGGCGAGCGGCAAATCCAAGCATGAAATTAGCAGTCGCTCAGATCATGCCTGCATACTTGCATATTTCACTTCGTGTGTTTTCTGCTTTGTGTGTGTTTTAGAGGAAGTCTGAGTGTTTGAGCGGCTAGCTGGCGTTGAAGTGCAGTGTGTTCTGCTGGAAGGAGGTTAGACACTGTTTGCAAACGACATCTGTGCTTACTTAGTGACCTTTTTGTCAACATGGAAAGTCAAGTCAACATGAAAATGGACCTTATTTACTGTCTTCATTTTTCTTCACAGTAAAAATTTTTTGTACAATTTATCAGTGCATGTTATTTAAAAAATCTCCTTTTAAACTTTAATCAAATGTAATGTAATGTAACTTAATTTTCCTGCAGACTGCCCACCTTTTTCGCTGATGTCATCAAGCCCTCTTTTTTCAGCTCCTCTTTTTGAAACCTATTTTGACCATCCAATTCATTATTAAAGGATGAAATTAAAAAGTCCTGCTCAACATGATTATTTGTTGAATATCCTGTTTGAATTATTGCAAGGTAAAATTAATTAGCAAACACAATCTCTCAATTTAGAAATAGATTTTCACTGATTTTATAAAAATCTAATCATGAGAGTATGGAAGATGAAGATTTGAAACATTTTAGAATTACCCATAGGAGGAAAAAAAATCATGTCATAATATCTTTAGTTTCTGTTAATATCTATAAATCTGTATACATTGAAAAAGCAATTTTCACACAGAAATTACTAGTACATTTCACAATGATAAAGAAAAAGCAAGTAACACATTGAATTAAACAAGACATTTTGAAGTAGAAAAACTGAGATTGTCTTGTAAAACTCTTTGATAATTTGTTTCAATTCATGAAAAGTTACTGTAATTTATAAGCAAGGTCACTGAAACTACCCATGATGCAATGCATATTACAGTTAAGTTACTGGTCATTTTGCAGTCCAGTAAGGGTTAACAGTGCAGTATCTAGCGTTTATCCTAAAGCTCTGCTAAAGATTTGCCGAGATACTAAAGTCAGCAATCAAAAGATTTCCATATGAACTCAAACATTTCATTTCTCTGAAGTTGTTCCAAGATTAAATAATCTGAGCTGCCATCTACAATCATTTGTACTAGGAATGAAATGTGTTTATACCTAAATTTATACTCAAGCGAGAGCTCCATCAAGTCTGCTGAGCTGTGGAGGAGTAACATTGTCATCTGCTGTAGTCTGGACATTTTTGTTTTTGCTACAAGATCAAATGTGGTAAAACTCTGACCTTGTTCAGCACATCTCCTCTCAATGCGTCTGTGTCTCCATTGCTTTCATGCACACAGTCACTGCTGCCCTCCTACAAAGGGGCCATTCATAAAGCTAATGAAAAGAAAGAGTTTACTCACCCAGATCACACCATCACGGCACTAACACACACACACACACACACACACACACACACATAGCATAAAAACAACACATATATTATTCATTAATTGATTTTCTGCCTGAGAACATCTCCATAGAGAGGTTTTGTCAGATTTGGTTCACTTTTGGAGACTTTAGGTTCTGCACATATAGACTCTCACTGAATGTACAGCCATCCTTACAGTTTTCAGCCCTGTAAACATAAAAAGTGGAAGCTAGAATATTTTTAATATCAAAGGTGAAACACATCTGTTTAATTTTGTTCAGGTGGGTGCTATTCCTCCATGCCCCCTGATTGAAGAAAAAACATTAATATGCAAATATCAAAGTACATGTACAGCTGGAAGGGAAAAGGACTCTCTTGATAGAATGTAGCCATGTCTTTTTTTTTTGACAGAGGGAAGAAATTAATCAAATAGAGAAAAATGAACTTTGTGATTGCACGGGTGTACCACCCAAAGGCATGGCAAGCAAATGAAAAATCAACATTGTACCCACTGATAAGGCAAATTAATAAGAAAGTGTGCTATGTCTACCTTCAATGCTGCTGCTTGCGTGAACAAGTTATCTCGGAGCAGACGTAACCTTAGGCTTTGGATCTGTTCCTGTGTTGGCTTTGCTCGAACACTTTGCAGTTGCGTTCATTTATAGTTATGGAAGGTACAGAAACATTACAAAACAGATATACTGTCGTAGTTTGCGAGGTGCATGGCGGTATATGACTTTTACAACATCCTGCATATGTTTGATGGACAAGATGCTACATGGCTTTTTGAAGAGAGATGTGCTTTTACTTTTCTAAACATCAGATTTACTTTCATTTGTGCCAGTAAGCATCCACCCGACACACCCTTGCACGTTTTCTAACATTTATATCTTTCAAAAATGGTCAAATCTTGTCAGTTTTAATATTGTATATAGCTACCCGATTATCTGCCTCATCATCAATGCTCTTGTAAAAAAGAAGTGCGCACTTAACTGTATTGAATGTGCACTTGTAGTGTACTTCAAATCTTGTATGCATATTTTTAAAAACTCTACTTGCAGATAATATAATATTAAAGGGGTCATATGATGCGATTTCAAGTTTTCCTTTCTCTTTGGAGTGTTACAAGCTGATTGTGCATAGATAAGATCCCTGAAGTTGCAAAGACTAAAGTCTCAAAACCAAAGAGATATTCTTTATCAAAGTTAAGACTCTGCCACGCCCCCCTAAAACGGCT